TCAGTAATGTTTGATATGCAGTTCTGCGTTCATGAGAGCAAAAAAGCGAGAAGATTTACGTACAGTTGAAGTCAGAATTATTAGCCAGCCTGTTTATTTTTTCCCCAATTTCTGTTTAACGGAGAGAAGATTTTTTTAACACATTTCTAAACATGATAGTTTTAATCACTCATTTCTAATAACTGATTTTTTGGGAAATATTTCAAAAAGTAATAAAAATTCAAGGGGGTGGGGTAATAAAAAATCCTTCAATTTTTTTTTTCTTCCTTTTTAAAATATTTCCTAAATGATGTTTAACAGAGCAAGGAAATTTTTACAGTATGTCTGATAATGTTTTTTTCTTCTGGAGAAAGTCTTATTTGTTTTATTTTGATTGATTGATTAAAAGTAGTTTTTAATTTTTTAAACACCATTTTTAGGACCAAATTATTAGCCCCTTTAAGCAAATTTTTTTCTGACTGTCTACAGAAGAATCCATTGTTATACAATAACTTGCCTAATTACCCTAACCTGCCTAGTTAACCTATTCAACCTATTTAAGCCTTTAAATGTCACTTTAAGCTGTATAGAAGTGTCTTAAAAATATTTAGTCAAATATTTTTTATTGTCATCATGCCAAAGATAAATCAAATCAGTTGTTTGAAATGAGTAATTAAAACTGAAAATGTTTAGAAACATTAAAAATGTTTAGAAATGTGTTGAGAAAATCTTCTATCTGTTAAACAGAAATTGGGGAAAAAATAAACAGGGGGTCTGATAATTTAGGGGGGCTAATATTTCTGATTTTACCTGTATTAACATTTTTTTTCCTTTTGTGATTATATCATATATTTTTTTTGTGCTCAGCGGTTAGCACTGTCACCTCACAGCAATAGGTTGCTGGTTTGAGTCCCAGCTGGTGCAGGGTGCTTTTCTGTGTGCATGTTCTTCATGTTCATGAGTTTTCATGTTCTCCTTGTTTTCATTCGTTTTCTCCAGGTGCTTTGGTTTCCCCCACAGTCCAAAGACATGCGATTTAGGTGTATTAAGTAAAGAAAAATTGGCGGTAGTTTATGAGTTTGTGTGTGAATGAGAGAGTATGGATGTTTTCCATTACTGAATTGAAGCTGTAAGGGCATCCGCTGCATAAAACACATGCCAGAGTAATTGGTGGTTAATTTAGCTGTGACGATCCCTGATAAAGCAGGGACTAAGCCAAAGGATAATAAGTGAGTGATCTATGAACCAAATCATTATGACTGGTGTTCCCTCTAGATTTAATATTTATTTTATTAATTGTAGTAGTCTACTGGGTCAATAATGTAACCTATACATTTCAGAAGAGTTTATCTTAACCCCAAAATGACCAGATCTCACACACACACACACACACACACACACCCACACACACACACACACACACACAAAGAAGCGTAAAAAGCCACATTAAGCACTATTTTTCTTACAGTGTGCTTCTATAGGAGTAAAAGGAATATGCATTAATTTACGATTACTTTCAAAATAGAGCTGTACTTACAAACAGCTTACATCAGCACAAACTGTCTTTTTGACATTAAAATAGTACTGTCAGGATTTAAAACTCTTATGGGGAAGATTTAGTGCTGAAAAGGCCAGAAGTGCCAAATACACAAACAATAAATGGCTTAAAGTTGTTAAAGTAGATTGTTTTCAGGAATATTTTTGTTACGCTGGCTGAAAATCTCCCCACATCCTGACAGCAATCATTAAATTAAGTGGTCCAAGAAAATTTCATACTGAACATTATGATAGCCTGTCCCACCTGCCTGTATATAATTGCAAACTTCTGTGCAGCCTGTTCGTGCAGAAATGATTATGTCATTTGAACAGAGAATGGCAGGCAAATATCATCTACCTACCTTCAGTTTGGTATTGTATTAAGATTGGTATTAAATACTACTGTGCTGTAACCTTTTTGGTAAAATTTTACTTGAAGGGGTGTTCATAAGACTGTCTTGAAAACTTTATAATTATGACTTGTGTTTAATGACACTGCATGCTTATGACTACTGTTATTGTCATTTGCTCAGATATGACATTTTTAAATGCAAAGATTGGTTGAAAGAAATCACAAACTGTTTAAACTTTGTCATGACAACTTGACATTACCAAGACATTATTTAATAAGACATCCTTATGAGGCAAACTTTCCAAGACAACTTGTCATAAATCTGTCATAAACATGATTGTCATGAGACATTATAATTGTGTCATAAACATTTTTCTGATAGGGCGACACGGCGGCTCAGTGGTTAGCACTGTCGCCTCACAGCTAGAAGGTTAATGGTTTGAGTTCCGGCTGGGTCAGGTGGCATTTCTGTGTGGAGTTTGCATGTTCTCCCCGGGTTTCTTCCCAGGGAGATCTGATTTCCCTGACACTTCCAAGACTTGCGCTATAGGTGAATTGAATAAACTAAATTGGCCATAGTGTATGATCTTGTATGGATGTTTCTCAGTACTGGGTTGCAGCTGGAAGGGCATTCATTGTGTAAAACATATGATGGAATAGTTGGCAGTTTATTCCACTGTGGTGAGCCCTGATGAATAAAGGGACTAAGCTAAAGGAAAATGGATGAATTAATATTTTTCGGGTCTTGTTTTCAGTGGAACAAACTGTGGTTGTCATTAAAATGTTTCATTAAAAGTGCTATCATATAATGTTTAACAGCATCATTTAATGACTTTTTAATGACAAATTTAGCTTGTACATTGATGCCTAAAAACAATAATGACTGTGTTATAAAATTCATGACAAATATATGATCAGGGTATCTGCTTAAAAAAAAAAAAAGTTTTAGGCCTTAAAAGTTCTTCAATTTGCTGAATTATTGTTCTGTAGGTCTTAAATCATTTTAAACTGGTCTTAATTTTCCTATGTCCAACATTCCATCTAATGTTTTATTAAAAGATTATTCATTAATGATACTTCTTTACAAAAACATTTGTTATTAATGGTTATTTAAATGTTTTACCTCGGCAAATAAAAAAAAATTATTTAGCGTTTAGCGCTATGTAAGCCTGAAATAATTCATAATGGTCTTGAAAAGCCTTAAGTTTGACTTGATGAAACTTGTAGAAACCCTGATGATGGCTTCATGACAATCACGTTTATTGCAGATTTATGAAAAGTTTTGCTGTCTTGGTAATCTACAATTGTCTCAACTTGAGACAAAAAAAAAAAAAAACAAGGTTGTGATGTATTAGTTTATGTCAAGTTGTCTGAACAAACAATGTCATCTTTTTACTTAAAATGTCATAACTGAGAAACTGACACTTAATGACATTTTTTATAAGCATGCATAAAATCTCATTCACATTCATGATGTGTTTTTGTAGTCAATGATGATTATAAACGTTTAATAACACCCCTTCAAGTAAATTATTACCACATTTTCTATCTGGTGAATGTTAGGTCAAACATTTTGGTGTTGCTGTCTAGTGCCTGTTCATGTGTTCAGGAAGCGTGGCCTTGGATCCCGATTTGCCAGATAAAATGTATGCTTTCAGTGCTATCAGGTTAGTGTTTAGTGTTAGCATTTTCCGATCTCCTATTGCACCTTTAAGTGAACATAAACAGTTGAGCACATGAGTGCTGTCCAGTTTTGAGTCTATCACTGTTGCACTAAAATGTTATATACGTTTTATTATGGAATTACCTCACTTAGAAGATAATCACTTTTTCACCTCATATACTTTTTCTCATATAAAATATCTACAAAGACAGAAAATATCACTGTAAAAACTGCATTGTACATAAATCAGATGAAAATATTCATATCAGTAAATATTTTTACTGTAATTAATTTAAAAACTAAATAAATATAGATTTACACACATTTACTCAAATAAATTAACATAATTAATGATGGGCAAAAATCTGTGGAATTCTTTGGAAAATCTGCGGATTCTACAGAGATTCCGTGTGGGCCTAAGAGAACAATATTGTTAGCAGAAGATTCATGCAGAAACTCTCCATTCAACTGCAATTATGTCTAGGAGAAATGGTTGAGATAAATCTTCTTTCATTTTCTTTTCTTTGAGGAATGATTAGAGAAAAGCATTTGCTTAATTATGATTAGTCAAGCTTAATTGTGGCTTCTTTTTGCAGTGGGCAAATGCTGATGTTCACTTTTCTGACTGTGCAAGATGCACAAGCATATTTTGGAGACCTTTTTTTATGCTTAAAACTGGGTTGAACAACAATCCATGCGTGTTTTTATTTTATGTACTGTATATATTTAGATTAGGATTTAGAAATGGAAGTTGCCTTCATGTCTATTTACAGTCTTTCTTCAGGCCATAGTATAATTTAGCTGTCTCCCATGAATTAATTTCAGGTCATGCCTTAACAATTCTGCAAGATTAAGATGAAGGCATTGACTTTTAAAGCATAGCAGTACTTCAACTTCAGCTGTGCAATTCTGTTGAACATTTCCAACTTCTGATAAAGCAAAAGTCCAGTGATAGACACATTGATGCTTTTTCTTTTCAAATATACAGTTAATATTTTACAGTTAAGATAGATAGATAGATAGATAGATAGATAGATAGATAGATAGATAGATAGATAGATAGATAGATAGATAGATAGATAGATGGATGGATGGATGGATGGATGGATGGATGGATGGATGGATGGATGGATGGATGGATGGATGGATGGATGGAAGGATGGATGGATGGATGGATGGATGGATGGATGGATGGAGAAGAAAGAGTACAACATGAAGAGTACAACAAATCCAAAATCTGTCATCTTTGAAAAAGTTTCACGCGTTATTTTCATCATTCTCATTTCTTTTTCAGAAAGTAATTAAACAGATCCTCGTCTGACTCATCTCACACAGAGGGCAATACATAAATCTGCATACTCTTACATATGCATGAACAAATGCTAAATCTCTGCGTACACAACCAAATGCTTGTAAATATCATTCAGCTATTTCTGAATTGTGTCTTACGGTGTTTTACATTTCCATTAGATTATACCAAAAGACAACGAGACAAGGTCAACGCTTATGTACAAGTACATCATCCATGAAGATTCAGTGCCCCTAAACAACAATAACGTCATTCAAGAGGACACGTATGAATGGGCGCTGAAGAGCTGGTCCCAATGTTCGAGACCTTGTGCTGGAGGTATTGTTCAAATTCTGTCATCTTTAAGCATTTCCAGATTAAATTTGCAAGATGTACTGTAACATAAGTGCCCAAGAATAACATTTATTTAACCTTTGAGTACATGCTTTTGTCTTATCCTAAAGCACTATGATGTATGAGGTGTGCCTGTATAATTGTTTAAATTAGGATTATTTAGATCTATTAGTCGATGCTTTGGAAGAGTCTATAAAATATGACAATATAGTTTATATTTAGTGACAATTCAAGTAATACGACTGTTGAGATACTGTATACTCCTTAATATATCGAAATACATGATATACAGTTGAAGTCAGAATTATTAGCCCCCCTGAATTATTAGCCCCTTGTTTATTTTTCCCTATTTTTTGTTTAACAGAGAGATTTTTTTCAGCATAATATTTTACTAGATATTTTTCAAGACACTTCTATACAGCTTAAAGTGACATTTAAAGGCCTAACTGGGTTAATTTGGTTAACTAGGCAGGTTAAGGTAATTAGGCAAGTTATTGTATAATGATTGTTTTGTTCTGTAGACTATCGAAAAAAATATATGTAGCTTTAATAATTTTGTCCTTAAAATAGTGTTTAAAAAATTTAAAACTGTTTTTATTCTAGTTGAAATAAAATAAATAAGACTTACTCCTGAAGAAAAAATATTATCAGACATACTGTGAAAATTTCATTGTTCTGTTAAACATTATTTGTGAAACATTTAAACAAGAAATAAAAATTAAAAGGGGGGCTAACAGTTCTGAATTTAAATGTATGTATCCAAGATGTATGTGTCCAGTTTTAATAACCGTGCTCAGTTCAGCATTTTTGCAGCTGATCTTTGATTTACTTAGACTTTTCACAGTCTACCCAGGCATGGAAACTGAGATTATGTACTTTTCTAATAACATCTGGTAACACCTGCCCTAAAGGGAAATATGCTCTTGTTCAGAAGTGACTGAAGGGAGATCAGATATGCAGACTGATAAGGTGCTGCTGTTAACACACCTTGCACTGAATTATTTAATGAAGAAATATGATTGGAAAAGCATCTTATAATTATTATTTTGCCCATATTGGACAGAGATGACACTCAGTTGACAGCAGAAACACATCTCTCTGCTTTGTCAGCATGAAATAAGTTTGAGATCAGCAAATTGAGAGAACACACCGACCAAATCTGACTAATGCATAAAAATGTACTCCCAACAGCTTACATAAAGAGGTAGGCAAGTATGCAATGTTGTGACCAAAAACTATATGTAGAAATTTCTATATCTATAATTGGAAATTTCTCATAAAACCATAAAACTGAAAGGTTTTAAAACAGGGGTCACCAATCTGCCCCTATGTCCCTGCAAACTTTAGCTCTCAATTGTGTCAGCACACACCTGCGTGCAAATTTCTAGTATAGAAATAGCTTGTCCAGTTGTGTTTGATTGGGGTTTGAGTTAAGCTGCGGTCACACTAGAGTTTGAGCTTGCGAAATTCTGGCGTACGACGCTGCGAAAACAGGTGGGATTATACAAGATGATGAGACATTTAGAAAAAGCGAGCAATTGGTCCATATATGTTAAATTTATGTCCAGAGAGGTCATGTTTTGATCCTCGATTGGTCTCACCCAGTGAAGTGATGTGATTTTATAGGTGAGAGTTCACCAAGCTATGGGCGAAGCAGTGAAAGGGACTAAGACGACAAAATAAGCCGACAAGAAAATAAATGAATGAATGAGTTCACAAAGCTTGAACTTTGCAATGCAGCAAACTGCGAAAGTTGTCGCATGAACTTGTGTTTCTGATTTGACGCATTCGTGTAGGTATGAATGGAAGTCTATGGGAGAAAAGTCTAGTGTGACCGCAGCTTTAAACTCTGCAGAATACTGGCCCTCTATGAGCAAGTCTGGTGACCCCTGCTTTAAAGTGTTAAAAGCACATTCTAGTTTAGTTATTTTACACTATTATTACACATAAAATGAGGCTGTGGATCATGCTGTAATATTGATTGTCTTGCAGAAACTGATTGTTTCACTTTATAAGAATTCAATCTATTGTTATTGGAGGCACATCTATTAATCTATTGACAGGAGACACATAAGAGTATTAAAGTTGTTGTTTATTTTATGTTTTATTTTTTTGTTTTATTGTTAATTGTTTTTTTATATTTTACTGTCGACAAACCCTTTAGGTCTGTTTAAAGTGGATGATGTTGCACTAGTCAAACGTTACTGATGATTTTTTACTTACTTTACTTACAAAATTATGTTTCTGTTTGTTCTTTCATTTTGTTTAAACTTCAGGCTTCCAATACACCAAATATGGGTGCCGTAAAAAAGGTGACAACAAAATGGTGCATAGAGGTTATTGTGATGTCAACAAGAAGCCCAAGCCTATTCGCAGGATGTGTAACTTACAGGACTGTACACAACCACAGTAAGTCGGAATTGAGCCAATCTGAACCCTATTAACAATACCTGCTTTTCACTTGAATGCTAGCTCAAATGACTTCTCTTGGTACAGTGTGTGATTATATTGAATTTCTTATTTCATCATATTAACCCAATCGAAACAGCGCTAAATAATGTATATGCATTCATTCTGTACCAGCCTAGCTAGGAGATCTCTGAGCTGGGTTTTGATTACTTTATACCATAGGGAGGGCTTGCTTCATTCATTTTTCTTGTCAGAGGCTAAGTAGAAATCTCAGGTTGTGATTGTGCATGTATGTGTCATATCTGGAAATTGTTCACCTCAGCATGTCGTTTCTACTGAATGTGTAGCCTTGGCTGATTTTACATTCATAGACAAAGTTATTTTCTTCCGTTCCATAGGCAAACACAAATAACCCTGTAGTTTTTTTTTCTTCTTTTGTTTCATTGAGCATGTGTCCATGACCTGCTGTTATGATTAACACAAAGACTAACACAGGGACTCTTCTTAAATCAACCTACACACGTCATTCTCACTGAATAACTTTTCTATTTCAATGTACACGGCAGTTTAATGTTTATCTGCATTAGAAGGCATTTTTAAGCATCTTCGTTCCACTTCCTCTGAAAACTATTGATTAATGTGATGCTTCAAACTCAAAGTACTTTCTTGATCAGAAATAACTTTGGTTTTATAAAGTGATAGAGAAAACTCTGATGTGTGGAAGTTATTAAAAATTTATATTTTTCAATTGAAAAGTTTTTTCTTTTAACTAAGTTATTTACTGGTTCATGTGAGTACTGCAGAAGCACCCAAAATGCTCTCATTGGATGAGAAGTGGGATGACAAAAGCTACATTTCTCTGTCAATTCACATTTTCAATTCACTGTCGGGCAAGTGCGAGCCAGGGCTTTTATCGAGCCGGGCCGGGCCGGGCCAATCGCCCGGGAGGTTGAGCAGTGAGGCTGAAATCATGTCACATTTCCGCTGTCGGGCTAGGCTAGTAGCTTCCAGCGCATCACACAAACCCTGCCCCCAGAACGTCACCCAAATCAAACGTCACACCACCTGCCCACTTCAGAGTGAATCAGACAGATAAAGCACACCATCGCATCCTCACGAAACCATTAAAAGACAACCGAAACAAACAAACAACACGTTGTTGTACAGCATTACAGTATATGTCTATACACACATGCCAGTGTGTTCTCATTTTTCATATTCATTTACTCACCAACTGATTGTTGGCATGGAATATCGAGTGGTCTCGCCACTAACGGAGGGACCCAGTGCAGTGAGCGCACCCATCCATAATATAAAATCACAGAAATGATCTGTTAATAACTCGGTAGAAAATGTATTTTATAACATCCTCGTTTAGATAAACGCTGTCAAACATTCAGCACAAATGCTCCGTACAGAGCTGGTACATATTAACTGTTCCCTATAGGCTATATAACACCTAATAGGTGACTCTTTTTTTATTTAAGGATCTTGCATATTATTCTGTGATCTTAAGTTAAGGAAAGTGTTAAGTGTTTCAGCACATAAGAGCAAGTAATAAAATATAGCCTATATTTGGTTGCGCTTAGCAGCTTTTCACTAATAAAGCTCTTCATGTATTTAAAATTTCGTTTTTAAATTTTACTGCGTCATATAACAACATAAACACTTGTTTGAGGACACAGAGCACATTTTGCATTTGCAGTTTTCCCTGATGCGTTTGTACAGGGACGCTGCACAGGACTGGATGACAAAAAAAAGGTAACCTAAAAAAAAAAAAGGTACCCTAGTTTCTGCTTTCACTTACCCAAAAAATGTTCTGTTTGCACGATTAAATTTAAATCATCGTATCCAAATACTTTATAAATAATATTTCAAACCTTCTCCGGTGTTTATTGTTTTTAGAAAATATCTAAAATCTTATTAAATTTTTCAGATAAGCTTTGTAAAATTAAAGTTTAATATGGCTTTAGAATGGTTTGATTTATGTATTTTATATAACTACATTGTTAGAGCTAGTTTTTGTTTGTTTTATATTGGTTTGTTTATTTAATGTGATTTTATTTAGCTGTGTCTTTAATATGGTGTAAAGATTATTATGCATTATTGAAACATCAAAGAGGACGCAAATACTTAAAAATGAAAGCTTTAATATTTTATGCAACAGCCTTACATTTAAAAGGGAAACATACGGGCGATCATACGCAAAAAGACCTCAGCCTATAAGGATAGATGTTTTCTTTACCGTATTTGTTTATTTGTTTGGGCGCATGTACTCATGTGCGATCGGAAAACTAATGTCCGCCTCTCCTTTCACTGGCCCCGAGAAAGCCCCGCCTTGGCCTGATTATGCCCCGGAAGTGACAGTGGAAACGCGACTGGCCTTGGCTTGCCCTGGCTCACTCACTTTAGGCGCGATAGTGGAAACGCGGCTAATGATCCAAAGGCATTGAATGACCAACATCCCACCCTCCTGTGACCCATGGAGGGTTTATGTGTGTTTTCAGATCCTGTGAGGAACGGACCTTCTAACTAACAGTGATAATTAAAAAATTATATTAATAATAATAATGCGAGATAAAATAATTATGTGCATTAACTAATCATAGCTCCTTTCACACAGTGATATGGCAAATTTCCAGAAGGACTGTAATATCTCTTGAAGGACTTTACCTGTAAATTAAGAAAACGATGTTCACACAGGGGCGCAGTGGGTAGCACAATTCACTCACAGCAAGAAGGTCGCTGGTTTGAGTCTCGGCTGGGTCAAAGTCATTTCTGTGTGGAGTTTGCATGTTCTCCCCGTGTTCATGTGGGTTTTCTTTCAGGTGCTCCGGTTTGCTCCACAAGTCCATACACATGTTGTATAGGTGAATTGGTATATGCTTAATTGGCTGTAGTGCATGGTTGTGTGTGTGTGTGTGTGTGTGTGTGTGTGTGTGTGTATTGGTGTTTCCCAGTGAAGGGTTGCGGCTTGAAGGGCATCCGCTGTGTAAAACATGTGCTGGATAAGTTGGGGCTTTAGTATTCAATGCAGCTTCTGTTTATCCCAGAGACATCCAAAGGAAAGCGTGAACCACCGCTAAATGTATATACATTTGACTACATTATAGATTATGTAGATGTATAAGTATTGGGAACCACTTTGATATAAACATATGGAGGAAGACTTTCGCATGTGGAGTTGTACTCACCGGAGCACTCTTTCACGTGCACCCACCTCACACAGCTGAAAGCTGGGCTTGCAGGTAAACTCACAGCAGTTTATCTTATGCCTTTTATTGATAATTTTTTCCACAGTTGACATTAATAATGAACAAAGAAACATTATGTAACTAACAACTAGCTGCTAAATGTGTCAGGAAATGTATTGAAAGACTTTTATTTTCATATACAGAATGGATGTGAATGCGTTTGAATATTCTTATTGGCTGGAGTAGGCGTCTCATGTCAGCCTATTGTAAACATGAATATGCTCTTTCCGGCAATTTTCTTTCTGCGTTTACACAATACAGCATTTATGGAAATTACCGGTAATGTTACAACTTTAACAAAATTGCTGGAATGAATTCTCAAAGCCTGCATGTGTGAAAGAGGCTAATGTGTTAAATGAATGTTAGCTTGTCGAGCCCTTAATAAACACTGAAATCTCAAAATGTTGTGTAGTTCTCTCAAGCAGCTATTGCATCTATCACAGATTCACTTTATTTAAAATATATATCATATCCCTCTGAAACCAGATGTTTTTTTTTATTTTTTATATTGCTCTAGTTCACCAACCAACACCAACCTTTTTTAGCCCAAGACCGCTAACCTCAGCCTTACTGAAAGGCAAAATCTACTCAGAAAAATGTAAACTATATTTTAAACTAATAAAACTAATAAACAGAAATTAACAACTATAATAAACAGATGGCTATACTACATTGACACTCTTTTTTTTTGTTTTAAATAGATTATACAACTTTAGCCAGGGTTTCACAGACGGGTTTATTGTGAAATCATGAAATATGTAAACACAATCATGATTACCCAAATAAAAAAAAAATGGCAGCTTGTTTTGACTATATATGTTTGTACTTTTTATATTTATTTTGTAGATAAATATACATGGATATAATTCAGAAAGGTGGCACAGTGGGTAGCACGTTCGCCTCACAGCAAGAAGGTCGCTGGTTCAGGCCTCAGCTGGGTCAGTTAACATTTCTGTGTGAAGTTCGCATGTTCCCCCCTTGCTCGCGGGGGTTTCCATTTTTCATGTATGTGTGTGTATCACATATACGTAATTCATATTTGTAATAAACACATATGTAATGTCAAAAGTTTATTAATGTTTTTATGGAAACAGCTCAGTGAACAGTGGTAAATTCTTCTGGAAGGGCAGAGGGCACTCTCACGTGGAAATTGCAAAAATACGCCACATAAAAAAAAATAAGTCATGGGGGAAATCTAACAAAGCAGAGCATTTAACTGCTTGTGCTGATTCAGCTACTAAACACAACTATGGAATCATTTCACAGAAGGATTATATCTGAACACTCGACCCGAAGTTATGGGGTGATTTAGGAGTAAAAACATGTCTGTGATTTTCACATCCTTTCGGATCAGCAGAAACAGAGCCATAGTTCAGTGAGAAGCTACGCACACAGTTGTCAATTCATAGAATGATTACAATTGATTTAAGTTTTTTTTTTTTTTTTGCACAGCTTGTCACTGAACTGGCTCTGTGTAGTAAACCTAAAAGCAGGTGCTGGAGATTTACAGCGGACTTTACTGACAAAATGAGCACAAATATTGGCTTCGGTTAGTCATGCAGCTCTATCCAGCATACTTGATTCATTAAAATCTTTAAATCAGAATGATTAAAAGGTGTACACGTAAATGAGGATGGTGTAGTGGCTGAGCCTGTTTCTTAGGGAACAACATGGCAATCCGTGTTGGGTTCCTGAAACTTCGTAAATCATCCTCCACTCTCAGTAAACCCCTTGCTTTTAAAACCC